ATTGCATTTTGCTCAGAAAATAACGTAAAATATTTTTTTCGGTGAAGAACACTTGTCTAGATTTTTTTCAAGAAAATTTTTTGTTAGAAACCGTCTTATGATGTCATACATCGTCAGATGTAATTTCACAGGCTGATTCTGAATATACTATCGATTTTCAATAGAAATGGTTCAAAGTTTCACGAGAAAAAAAAAGTTTAATGGAAAAATCAAGGCCTTCTTGAAAACAAAACACGACTTGGATTGAAGCTCGTCCATTTTGTTGAGTTTGTTTATTAGCATTTTCTGACTAATCGTGATTGTTCCACTCATCTTAAAGTTTCGAAACAAAAATTTTTACGCCACTCAATAGAACGTGTTTTAAAGTATGACTTTCGTTATTTTTGTCTTATCTAATGTTCATCCGGATGTGTATTGAATATTGCTGTCATCAAAAAAACTAACCTTCAATAGGTAATTCAGGCATTGGTTGTTCTAATAAATCAGCCATTGTTTCAGTATTTTGTAAAAGTTTTTGAAATGTTGTATTTGCTTGTTCATATTTATCTTTAATTTCTTGATTGATTTCACCACGATTCTACAAAAAAGAAAAAAGAAATAAAATTCGTAAATATAAAGTCTCAGAATAATAAAATTGTGTATCCATATGAAACCCAATTGTTTTCTTTTTTCATTATCTATACAAATCTCAATAGATAAGAAAATTATAAGTCATATTCGCCTTTCATTCATCATTGACTTTAAACTTACTTCCATTGTTCTTTTCATTAATTGTTCTTGTTTTTGTAATTGTTTATATTCATCAATAAGATAAACAGATAATTTTTGAAAATAATCATTTAACATTGTTCGTATTTGTTGTTTTAATTCATTTGAATGAAATATACTTTTATTTAAATCATCAATATTATCATTTAATTTAATAATTAATTTACGTATTTTACTTGAAAATATATCAGCATAATCTTCTCCACATAAACGACAAAAACTAATTAATATTGTTAAATTTGAAAAATCTTTATCATTATTAATTAATGCTGTTAAAGTTGTTAAAAGATGATTTATTGATTGATTTATTGGTAAAACATGTACAGTTATTAATTCAGCAAATAATCTTAAATCAACACGAACTTTTGATAAATTTTCTGTTAATGTTTCTTTTTGTAAAACTTTTAACCAATTTTCATAAAGTGATAATGAAAAATCAGGATAACGTTGATGTAATAATGAACATATTTGTACTGATGTCCATACATCACTCATTTTTAATTTAGCTTCTGTTAATGCTGTTGCTACTTCTGATATATAACGTGTTAAATTTAATGTTTGCATATCACGACAAAGTGCATCACGTTGTTGTTCAGTTAATGTACGAAGACGTTTTATAAATGGTGGTATACGTTTTATACTTGAATCTAAACGTGTCATAGCTGCTTGTTGTTGTTCAGCATTTAAACGATTTTTTTCAGCATTAAGATTTTGTTCACGAAGTTCTTGACGTTGTTTTAAACGATCATTACGTTCAGTCAAATAACTTGTTATTTGTTGACGAATTAAATCAAGATTTTCTTCTGGTGGTGGTTCCGGTATTGTCGGAGGAGGAGGAGAAGGTAATGGTAATTCTTCAACTGGAGTTTCAATTGGTTTTGAATCTTCAATAGGAGGTGTTTCAATTGATTGTTCAATTTTTGGTTCAAGTGAAATTGAAGGAATTTCGACTATAGATTAAATAGAGTACAACAATAATTGTATTTTTTATTCAGATTTTCTCTTCCCGAAAGGGTGATTTAATATTCCGGAGAGGCGCACACCTATTTTTGGAAACACATATGCGAAACTCCGAATGGGTCAATTCGATCTTTGAAGGGGCGCCACCTCCTTGGCTCTTACAATACTGAACAGAAAGAAATCGAAAACAATAATTTCTTCAGAATACATTATCGTTTTAGATTTGCCTTGCAATTTACAATAGGCACAAAAAAAAATAGTTTTTTTTCCAACTGGTTTCAAAAAATTCTGATATAGTATAAGATACTAATACTTCCAATATAAACTTATAATTAACAAGTATTAAATCAATAAATTAAGATTTCCAAAAAATCAAAGTTTTTTTTGTAAGTATTTAATTCAATTCGAACTTATATTATATAACGTCGTTAATAGTTAACTATTTATATTTACTCTCGAATTAATTTATATAAATATCATGCGATAAAAAAAAAGAAAGACGGAATATTGCGTAATCAAGGTAATAATATCGCATATATTACTAATCATTAATTCAGAGTATTCTAAGCAGAACTGAAAAGTTAAATATGAGATATAGTCTTCACTAAACTTTCGTGTTTTCAAAGAATATAAAAATTTAATTTTTTCTACAAAGAAAAAAGAAAAAATGTTTACCTGTCATTTCTTGTTCTTTACTCGGTATTGGAGAACTTGATTCAGGTTCTTGTTGTTTTGTTGGTTTTTTATTAACTGATGAATTCGTTTTATTATTATTATTATTATTTTCTGCAAAATTTCCTTTTGCATGACGAGGTGGTGGATTATAATAATGATTTCCTCCATCATAAGTATTTCTATTTGATGAATAACGTTTTGATGATGCGGAACCACGATCATAATTTGATTGTGATTGATCATATGACTCATAATCATAACTACTTCCCGAATATTGATGATGACCATAATTATAATCATTATAATTTTGATCATAACTACTACCACTACCACCACGACGTGGTGGTTGTCGAGAACCCCAACGAGTATTAGATCGATTATTCATGAAAACTAAATTCATTTAAAAATGAAGACATTTTAAATATAGAAAAGAAAAAGACAATCTTAGATTTACTTGTACTTATTTTTTAACGAGACAATATAGTTAAAGAAATTTTAGCATAACAATAAAAAATGAAATATCTAAAATCAAAAAACCATTATGTATATATTTCAATAGGTTACAAAAAAAATTCAGATTATCGAACGTAGAAAGACAAACAAAAAAAAATTTTCTGTGAAAGATTTTTATCAATGGATATTTATCCACACCAATAAATAACTGAATAATTTATTACTTGACAAAAGCGTCATCTACGTTTTATCATAGAAAACTAGAAAGAAAAAGAAAGTTCTTGTTTGTAGGTCAAGTTTTATTTCGTCGTCGTCTTTTTTTTTTATTCATCTATTGTTTATAAATCATTTTCGATAGAGGTCGATAAATGAAGATTGAATATAAAATAATTCGTGTTTTTATTAAACTATTCATGGAATTGAATGTTTACATTTGTTATTCAATATTATAATTATAATCAATCAGAATGAATCATAACTATTCGAAAGAAATTCAGTAGGTCCATTGATATCATCAGTTTTGATTGCAAGAAAGTTAATTGATAATATTCAATTGAAAAATGTCACTTAATGGGAAATAAACAATTAGTTCCTTAGCAATGTAGGGTATTAACTTTCATATGCTCTCTTATTTAATACCAACCTATGGCGCATTGAATTCCATCAGAATCTCAAACTGATAATATTGACCTTGTCCAAGAGATATTAATAGCAATCTACTAAATATGTTAAACTAACTTGATGCTGACTATTGTCATTTCTCATCTTCAAATCTTTGAAAACATCTATTATATATTCTGTTTTGCATTCATAACAACTGAAATCGATTGACCGATCTGATATACATGTTTAAATAAATATCAATATAGCGTATCTTAAAAGATGAATGTTCCATAAAATATTATCAGTACACAGTATAAAATGAACATAGTTCAAGTCTCAGTAAATTCTCAGTCGGCATTTTTGGGCTAGTAGCATCGACAGTTGTATTTTACTGAGATTTTCTCTTCTGGGGAGGTGACAAAATTTAAAATTCCGAAAGGACGAATATCTATTTGATAGAGTGCAGATCATATTCCAGACTGTTTTTGAGAATGGAAAAGGTTGGAAATTCTAAAAAATTTCTCACGATACTGTAAAAAGTTCGACATTTTGCGAAAGACAAGGCCACTGCCATCCTGTCCTTAATCGATAACCTCAGTGTAAACACACTCTACATGCAACAATTGCCATAAATTTCGAGCGGACGAACTCGATTTTCTGAAAGGCATCGCTTCATTGGTCTCCACGTCGGTTCTCATGCAGGATAAAACACTAATTAACAGATATGAAAGAACTTATCGTTCCGTTTGTCACACTCTTATATTTGTATATCCGAGACATTTTCAGACATCTGTCATTAATACATAATTGAATTAAATTCACCAACTTTGAATATATTTTAAACAAATAATTCTAAAACTCCAACTAATTCTTTCACTATATTATTATTTTCCTAAATACAAACAATAATTTATATTTTTCTTTAATCTTTATTCGAATGATTTTTCAAGAGCCAGACAAAAAGAAAACAACAAGAAATATAGACGAAGAACAAAGTCACAGGTGTATGTTTATATACATATCTATATATATATAACAACATTTAGGATATAATCAACACAAAAAAAAAACAATGAACATCATAAGAGAAAAAAAAGATATTGAATATCTTCATAGAAGAAATTCAATAATTAACAGCGAACGAAGGAAAAAAAAGAAAGGGAGACATAGATAACAATTCGTTGATTCTTTTTCACACACACACATAATTTTTGTTTTTAGTTAAGAACAGAACGGATACGAGTATAATATATATGTTTAAAAACAGTCTGTACAACAATTGATCAATGGCATTAATAAACGAAGACGAATAATATACATGAAGAATAACAAATTGAACAAAGAAAGATAAAAGAGTAAAATTCAGACACACACACACACATATATATCAGAACAAAGTTAAAATCTTATTATTTCTTTTCTTTATAATTCTTAGTATTTTGTTACCCGAATTCGACACAGAAAAAAATAAATGATTACATGTTTTATATATATAGAAGAAAATAAGTTAAACAAGAGAGAAAAGAAAAATATATAATTTATCACAATACTGATGTTAGACGAAAATCATTAAGACTACTTGAACGTTGTAATGGTGATGATTCTCCATGAGATTTATTCATATCAACAGCACGGATTTGTGAACAAACACGTTCAAGTTCATTAGCTAAGAACATATAATCGAGAAGTTTTCTAAAAATATTAATAAATTTTTTTTTCTATTTGAATAAAAATTTTAGTTTTTTTTTTTTTTACTTTGCTAAAATAGAATTTTTTCTTTGTTCTTCTTGTAATTCATCAAATAATTCATTTTTACTACGTTCACTCACTGGTGATACGATTGGATGTTCAGCTAATTCAGATGATGATGGACGTTCACTAACATCAGGTTTAATCATTGTCTATTAGAAAATAAGAAAAAACAAAAAATTCTTTTGTCTTTAATTCATATGAAAATATTTACAACAAGTAAATCATTAAATGCATCAGAACAATGTTTTATTTGTGGTAATTTTCCATCACGTATACGATCCCATTCATCACCATTTTTAGGAAGTATACTATTTGTACCCTTGAAATACAAAATTCAAATTATTATAGTGTATTGTTACTTGAAATCGAAAGTTTGATATTAAATTTCATAGTTACTAAATAATAATATAAGATGTTTATTCAACTTCGATTTTATATAGTAGGAAATTATAAGAAATGTGATAATACAATGTCTTTTCTTCAGTAATCTATTTATCAGAATATTCGACACTATGATATAGAAATATCTCATTATTTTCTTAACTAACAAGAGAATATTCAGTATGTCTGTAACTCGAGATTTAGTGCATCTTGGAGAGAAGGTCTGTTGCAAAAACTCATAAATACATTGCCTAGAATTTTCAAGTCTTCAAATCATTTTTAATGAATTAATTCTAATTTTCTGCACTCTCTGGTCAATAAAATCAGTATATATCTTTCAGAAAGGTACTGCCGTCAAACTAATTCCAATTTGAGATTAAATTTATTAGAATAAAAATGTTTTTTTAAAAACTTACTGTAACAAATATTGTAAGTGCCAATGAGAAAACATCTGCTTTGGGTAGACATTGATATTTTTGTTGAAGAACTTCTCTTGCTAAATATCTTGAATCACCTTCTTCAACAAATGGATCATATATATCAGTAACATGTCCTAAATCACCTATTTTATAAATAATATTTTTTTCTTCAAATAATTCATCATTTATTGATATAAATATATTATCAGGTTTAATATCTAAATGAACTAAATTTTTCGAATGTATAAATGCTAAACCATTAGCTATATGTAATAAAATTTTTCGTAAAACTTTTTCATCCATATAACATTGTCGATAATGGTTATCACGTATACGTTCAGCTAAATTTCCACCTAACAAAAGAATAAAAATTCACACACATGAAATATTTGATATATATACATATATATATAGAAATTAAGTGTGAATAACACATATGTTTCACATATGCGATTAATAATCTAAGTACTCACCATTACAAAATTCACTTTGAATATACATATGATCATCTTCTGCCCATGCTGAGTAATATTGAAGAATATTTTGATGTTTAAGCACAGCTTGTGCACATACTTCTTTCCAAGCAAGCATTCTATTAGAAAACACAAAAAATTTTTTTTTTGAGAGAAATTTATAGTTAAATTTAACATACTCAAATGAACTACCAGCTATAGGACGTTTGGATTTTTTAATTGCATATGCACAACCATCAAGACGATTAACACATAAATAAACATTACCAAATTCACCTGAACCAAGTAATGATTGAGTATGAAATTCTTCATTAAAACGATGTACATTACATTGTTTTAATGCTAAACGCTATTTCAAAAACAAAAAAGAATTAATATAAACTTTTTTTGTTTTATTATACTTTTTTTCTTCGATAATTTTCTTCAAGATTTTCTTCATCAAAAAGTCTAAAATAGAAAACCAAAAAAAACAAAAGTGATAAATAATTTTCTATTTTTTATTTTACATTTGTTTTAATGATGAACGTTTGCGTTTCTGTGGTTTACTTTCATTTGTTGAATTTAATGTCATAAACGGATTGACATTACATTCCTAAATACATACAAAAGAAAAACAAAATTAAACTTTTATTTTTAAATTTTCATACTAGACGTATTGGTACTGGTGTAGATTTATTAAATAATGGTGAATAATTATTTAATGTTTGTCGTTTTTTAAGACGTTTTATTGAAAGATGATTTTCTTGTTGACATACATTAACATCAATCATTTGTAATTTTCTATTTGTTGATAATGGTGTTCGTTGTACAGTTGTCGTTATAACAACTGTATGATGTGACGATGATGATGGTGGTGTACGTGT